GAGGGAACGTCCCTCAGTTTGTATTTATGTTATTAAATATATAAAGCTGTAAATTTTAAACGGATGTGGTATTCTTACTTATAACATGTTCGCGAATCCCCATTTATTTTGTGAATAAAATATGTTTAAACTTAAACACCTTGAAACATAAGCGTCGGCAATGACCTCTAGCTCGACGTTTGACTAAAGTATGCTGTCATTTGGTCAGTGACCAGACCACTGTTTACTTCTGTGTCATTCTACCACAGAATTCGCGATTGCCTGTGTTTGTTTATTATGGTCATACAAAAACATGATTGACTATTATGCTTTCAATCTGAGTAGTGTGCTAAAAGGGTCTATGAAAACATCCTGTAAATATGGGCGATTAGTTTACCGCGCTTTATCACCTGCCAATTGCATACTACGTCCATTAGACAGATCAGCAACACATCCGTGAAGATCCGGGGAAGAATAGGTCTTCACCAACCCATGCTTACCGTATAAGGCGACTATGCTTGTCGTAAGAGGCGACTAACGGGATCGGGTGGTCAGGCTCGCTGACTTGGTTGATGCATATCATTGATCCCAATTGCGTGGATCGATGCTCATGATATCAGTCACTGGATTGTCTGGTCCAGACTCGATTACAGACCGCCGTCATATAGCAGGAACATTGCTGAGTGCAGCGTTAAACAATAAACCAACCAAACCATCAGCCACAACCCCAGGACGAAGACCTGAGGCCTTACAGAAGTGCAAATGGTGTCATTAATTGTAAACATTTAGGTGTTGCCATTTTGTTGCTGTGAAAACTCATTGTCACATCGCGACCGTATTCCATTGAGTTTTGTCTATCGACCCTGCTGTCCCCCAGTACGATTGTTCTGCCTCTTCTAACACACAATCATATGCTGCTAATCTTCTAATCATGTACTGCTCTCGCCGTGCGTCATGCTTCCCAAGGCTATGATGTGACCTCTGATGATACATGTCCATAAACGACTGATCAATGTTGTAGTGTTTTGACTCTGAGATCGACCTTTATTCACATAAAAGTTTTCAGTTAGGTTTATTTAAAAGCGTGACTTCTAACGTTTATGACCAAATCAATCGGAACATAATCATAGAGCTGGGATATTAAAGACATTCAAGTGTGTTATTCAAGTGGTTTATAACGCTATACGTGTTCAAGCATTTCCGTCCTTCTCCGGATCGTTTGCTCCTCATGTTTTGCCAGATACCGCTACTATGTGCGTAAGGTCGTTCTTTCTTAAACGTCAATTGCAAGTCATCATCATTGCCTAGTATATTATATATCCATTCCGAATTGACACATATAACCTGTACCACCTCGCCACCATAGCTTCGTTCCAGCAGAGACGTCACTCTCTCCATCTCTACCATCTCCACACACATAATTTCTCTCGCTCGTGTTAGTAATTGGATTGGACGGCTCTTTGTAGAGGGTATAATACCAAAGGGGTCCATATATCATAGCAGAATGGAGAGATAACACAGAGACTGGATAATCGACTATGGTCACAGGTGTAAGCATCTGTAGGCAAGGAATATTAGATTGTCATCATTTAAACACTATCTAATATAATATATTCATGTATATCAGATATATTTAAATTCTAAATAGTCATTTCGCTTCGTGGTATGTGTTTCTGCATTTGCGAAGTATCATTTTTGAAGCGTCCGTATAAACACATTTTATAAACACATTTTTACAAGCAATTCACAAAATATGTTTTATTCTGATATGAACCATATTTTTGCATAGGACACTGCCAATTAAAGTTTCATCTCAATATGAAGCGTTATATTAATTACTGTTTTGCCTTTACGCACAATGGAATCATTTTCGACAGATGATTATTCAGAGACAGAGACCGGTTATTCTCTTATGTTGACGTTAAACATTTAATTATATTATGACAATATATAATTGAACAACATATTATTATTTTACAAAAAAAAGCGAAGACATTTTTATCAGCACGTCTGTCGAATCACATTTTTCAAATGAATCAATCCTCAAGTCCCTTCTGACTACGTTATAGTAAGAGTGAGTTGGGTTTAACGCCGCTTTTAACAATATTCCAGTTATATCGCGGCGTGTCAGCTAAATAGGGGAGGAAAGCCCGAAGTGATGCAGGTCTCAGACTTTTACCACTTCGGTGAAACCTACGAGCACGGGTATGGTGCTGACAAACCTAGAAACATAATCGGGGTGAACCGGGATTCGAACCCACAATCAGACGACTGGGCCACCCGTGCCCTCGTTATAGTGAGAGGTGATGGTGTGGCAGTGGTATAAATCGAATAACAGATCCACCATAATCATAACTGTTTTCATTGAGGAAGACTAGTGTTGGTTAAAAGTCATTATAAGTTTTCATATGACTTGGGGCTTTGTTTTGTCATGTTTTAGACGCATACAACATTATAATGAAGAATAAAACCAGATTTGAACCAGAGGAAGATTTAAACTGCTACTTAAGACAGTAGAGAGGTGTCTGTTACACTTATAAGAGCAATTATATTTGTTATATATTTTGTGGAGGACAGTTCTAAATTTGCCGCATCGGTGACCAAAATTATGTCCGCTGTAAATCCCTATTCTAAACGACATCATGATCAGGTGTTTTTGAATCACTGTCAGTGATGATACCAGGTGTTTGCAAAAAGGTAAACGTAGCCAACTCTACCGGTGGCACCTGTTTAGAAACATATGTAGAGACAATGCAGCTGTGAACATATGGTACAGAGCAAAATAAGGAATTGCATTGGACATCATGATTGTGACTGATGTCAGATGCAATTCCCTATTGGGTAGCACGTCCACTATACTATAATTTACAAGATTCAGGTAATCAGGCAACAATAGATGGATCTCAATTTTCATCAAGGAAGACCATATATACATGGAGACATTCCTCAGTTAAACACCGGCTGTCTTTGTAAAGAACTGAACTGTCATCCCTTGGCCAAAAATAACCGTTATGTAGGTCCGTGCCGCTCCTTATTTAACTATTGCATGTTGTCTGTTAAGAAAATTGCTCGCTTATGATATTGGGTGATAGACAACATGAACACACATCAACAAATGCTAAGTACGTGTATGAAGGCCATATCATTACGCTCCCTTATCCTCAGCTTATATTGTTGAATTATTTTTTATTCCAACGAAAATGTTCAAAGCGTGAATTTCTCATGAAGTAAAAACGCAGATTCTTACTCTAGGTAAATACATGTAGTTGTACATCTTCCGGATTTTCCAACAGAAAAAGATTACTTAAAACACTAAAGCATGTGACATCTTGACCTTATTTGTGGTACAAAAGAAACAGAGCATTTTATCCCAGTACATGAAAAGAGGATAATCTCATTGTTGTTTGTTCAGTTAAGAGAACTCTTACATGAGAATCATTTGCCAGACAATGTAATTTACAATAAAAAACATGAATGTAAATATTATGTGTACTAAACACATACTTATAATGTATGGAAATGTATTTTTTCCGTTGGGTTCACGTTAATGCAGCCAGTATGTATGACAAATGCGTCAATTGGAAGTAAGGCACTCTAAAAGAACAAAACTTTAATCAATGAAAATATGAGTTAACAATTTAGGTATTTTTTTATCAAATATAGGGCAAAAAACAAATGTTGGTATTCGTCACTGATGTCTTTTAAATGACATAAAGTGCATATATTATTATTATGTAGGAAACATTGTCATCAAACTACTCCAATTGGTATATCGGATCTGAAGACGATTACGCCCATGGTTTTCGTTCAATATTGATAAATAACATTCCAATTTAAAAAAATAATATTATGCCATTCTAGGTGACATCTTTAGAGGAATATATAGATAATGTTTACACATGTTTGTGCAGATCATGACGATGAAGTTGACTACGCTCCCGTAGACACAAGTGTTGCTCATAACACTATTAAGAGGTCTATGTGACAAGTCGATACCAGATTTCTCTGAAGGTCGTTCGATAGAATTTAATTACAAATAGAAAAAAAGGCTAGGTAAACATGGTCAAATCATACATTCGCAGGTGCGAGAATCGGCCCTTCATGTAAAAAATTACATGGAGAAAAAATGGGATCAATTGAGGAGTATGTCATTGAGTCAACATCACTACATTAATGTCTCAGCCTTCACAATCATGTGATAGATGACATGACAATATTCATTATTGCTCTTTGTGGTACAAAGTGTATTCGATTTTTACAGCAAATGAATTCCCTTCATTGTCACAATACTGCTCAATTGTTGTTATCTATGCAAATCTGTTGTCACCGTTTTCACAGTCATCGGGTACCTCACATCAGCACGTACTATTATGTGCTCTGGCAGTCGCCGCTAGAACTCGTTGTTAGCCGGGACAGGACACGCACATATCCATCGTACTACTTGTCGCGGACCGCCCGCTACCCCTTTGTTTATAAGGGTATGCGCCAGTGGGCGGAGCTCATACATAGTTTTTCGGGGTTAATTGTCAGGTCACAACTCAACTTATCCGGGCTTACCAGTGAAAAGCTAGGAGGTATCCAAACATCATTCATATTGTTCACAGTGTACTTAACACTGACCAGTGAATATGCTCTCAAATCTCTCCCAAATGTGATGCCTATCGTCGTTGAGCGGTCCCATCCTGCTGCTTCATTTCTTAAATATTTTTAGTTAATCTTTTACATAACCTTATTTCAGGTTTGCGGCAACCTACAATGTATGATTGACGTACGAATACACTTTATGGATCGGGTGTCTGGATCAGGCTCGGTGACTTGGTCGGTAACCTGTGTCAACGTACCCCGACGGCATGGATCGTTGCTCATAATGTTAATCACTGGTTTGTCTGATGCAGATTCGATCAACAGACTGTCATGTTGAAGGTTAAATATTGCTGACCGTGCCATAAATCGACAAATAAACAAACAAAAAGTTCCCGATCAAATTTCATTGATATTAATTGTGTCACTTTTCATTTCAGGACCATGGCCGACCCCACAAGTTACGACGAGGGCCCGGGAACGGGGTTCACGGACATGTTGGAAAATGTAACATACCTGTTGCACAACAACATGACACCGAGTGAAATACAGCGCCAGAATGCCTTCGTGAACGCTCTGACCATAACCCGCAACATATATGTCCCGACCATAGTTATGATCGGTTTGGCTGGAAACTTCCTGTCCCTTGTCGTGTTTACAGCTAGCCAGCTCCGCCATGTATCATCATCCGGGTATCTTGCGGCCTTGGCATGCGCAGACAACCTCTTCCTGTTATCGTTACTCGTGACGTGGCTGGACGGAATAACACCAATCATGTTTTCCAAAGAAGCATGTCGGTTTATTATCTTCATCACCTACATGTCAAGCTTCCTTTCAGTGTGGAACGTCGTGTGCTTCACGAGTGAACGCTACATCGCGATATGCCATCCTCTCCATGCCCCGATGATCTTCTCCAAGCTGCAGGAGAAGTATGTTGTCATAATCTTCCTCGTACTGTCAGCTCTTCTCTACAACTTTGCTCTCTGGACCATTGAGACCCAGCCCTACAAGAACCGCCTTCTTTGTTCCGGTAACCCTACGTTCTTTTTCCTCATGAATATCGTGACGTGGATCGACACAATTCTCACCATGATTCTTCCTTTCCTCCTCATCCTCTTCATGAACGTGCGGATCGTGTGGCGTGTCATCCGGTACCAACGGAAACGGGAAAGTGTCCTCCAGACCCACAAGACAGAAAAGACGCCCGCTCTGAGAAACAAGTCACAGATGAGGATAACCCGAACACTATTACTTGTATCCACCACCTTCCTCGTCCTCAACCTACCCAGTCATGTGATCCGACTGGAACAGCTGATTTCAGCTTCCAATAACTACAACCCCCTCCACCTGAAGTTAATACAAGAGATCGCGCAACTTATTTACTACTCGAACTTTAGTGTTAATTTCTTCCTGTATGCCATATACGGAAAACATTTTAAGAAATCATTGAAGATGTTGATCACTAACATGTGCCGCAGAAAGAAGACTTTTTCCCGTGACAGATGCCGTTCCGATTTTAACCGAACATCAACAACATCAATGCAGGCTTATTCCAGGTGACTAGTCGTAAAGGAAAGTCAGTTATGACGGTGTTTAAACTTATGGTGCTGCGGCAGGGGTGACAGGTGTGCTCGTTATTAGAAGCAAGGTGTTTTTGGTGACTTGGCTTTGTGATGATAATATTTTACAGTGCCCGACCATAAAGAATAGGTTCTTGTCGCTCTGGCCAGATGTAGTGGTGACCAGATGTGCAATATCCCAATCATAATGGGCATTTGTTTTCAACTATGACAATACCAAGTACCAGACTAAAGATTTTCAATTACGGAGTTGACTCAGAGTGACAATGTTCCTTTGTTGAGATGTGTATCGGTGACAATACTTGGTATAATATAGAGAGCCGATGTTCAGGTGCGGAGTAACATGTCTGTGACAATATCAAGCCCCAGTGTGACGATGTTCAGATGTGGAGTAACATGTCTGTGACAATATCAAGCCCCAGTGTGACGATGTTCAGATGTGGAGTAACATGTCTGTGACAATATCAAGCCCCAGTGTGACGATGTTCAGATGTGGAGTAACATGTCTGTGACAATATCAAGCCCCAGTGTGACGTTGTTCAGATGTGGAGTAACATGTCTGTGACAATATCAAGCCCCAGTGTGACGATGTTCAGATGTGGAGTAACATGTCTGTGACAATATCAAGCCCCAGTGTGACGATGTTCAGATGTGGAGTAACATGTCTGTGACAATATCAAGCCCCAGTGTGACGATGTTCAGATGTGGAGTAACATGTATGTGACAATATCAAGCCCCAGTGTGACGAGGTTCAGCTTTGGAGTAACATGTCTGTGACAATATCAAGCCCCAGTGTGACGATGTTCAGATGTGGAGTAACATGTCTGTGACAATATCAAGCCCCAGCGTGACGAGGTTCAGGTGTGGAGTAACGTGACTGTAACAATATCAAGCCCCAGCGTGACGATGTTCAGATGTGGAGTAACATGTCTGTGACAATATCAAGCCCCAGTGTGACGATGTTCAGATGTGGAGTAACATGTCTGTGACAATATCAAGCCCCAGCGTGACGAGGTTCAGGTGTGGAGTAACGTGACTGTAACAATATCAAGCCCACGATGAACGGTGTTCAGCTTTGGGGACAACTTATATGGGACAACATCAAGCCCGCAAGAGACGGTGTTCAGCTTTGGAGTAACTTATATGTGATAATATCAAGCCCGAGCGTGGCGATGTTCTTATACGGAGGAACTGATAAGTGACAATATCAAGCCCTAGAGTGACGATTTCAATTTGGTGATCGGCATGTCATATCTGGATCCTAGAGTAACGATGTCCATTTGTGAAAAAAAGCCTACCTGTGAAGGAGGATCATATATGTAAAGATGTCAATTTGCGGAGGTTCCTATATATGACTATATCCTGTCCAAAAGTGATGATGTCCAGTCGTGGATGCGCCTATATGTGACCATACCATTCCTTGGAAGTGTTTATCAATGATAGTTTTAAAATATTGCAGTAAATATCTACGTCACGGGCATTGCAGAGTTGCGTCCCTTCGTTGTGCCGTGATCCGCTGATCATGATTTCGAATAATAGTAATAATAATAATAATAATAATAATAATAATAATCGAATATATGATTATATATTGCGCATATTTCCACACCACTCGGGGGCATGCTCTAAACGCTATTATTTCCCCGGGCACTGGATTAGTGTGCATTCAAGAATCATTTTCAGCTCCTTGGGGAGCATGCAACCCAAGCTGTTATGTGCTAGAAGGTTGACAACCACATTGCCATCTCATCCTACCGGGTACCCATTCACTGCTGGGTGAACAGAGGCACATTTCGAACAAAGTCACTTGCCCAATGAGATGCCGCATGAGTTACATGTGCTTCAGTGGGAGGGAAGCATGCGTCTTTAACCTTCATTTAGCTCACACGCTGAAATAGAACTGAAATACTGTTCACGTCGGCGTTAAATCTGTCTGAAGATCCAGGGTAGAATAGGTCTTGAGCAACCCATGCTTGCCGTAAAAGGCGACTATGCTTGTCGTAAAAGGCGACTAACGGGATCGGGTGGTCAGGCTCGCTGACTTGGTTGGTGCATGTCATCATGTCTCAATTGCATGGATCGATGCTCATGATATAAATCACTGGATTGTCTGGTCCAGACTCGATTATTTAGAGACCGCCGTCATATAGCTGGAATATTGCTGAGTGCGGCGTTAACCAACGAACAAACAAACAAACAAAATCCATCTCACTGACGGATATGGGATCTAACACATTAAATAGACGGGAAATACAGCTCATAGTTAAGGACATCTGAAAGTACTGAAGACATGCACCGTAAATACAAACATATCTGCGACATTGGGGATATCATTATTATTACTATTAAGCCAAAATTAGTGTAGTGCTGACCAGTTTTGTATTTCGGGGACCGTTCAGGTTTTGTCAATACCTATTTTCGGTCGACGGCAGAGGTATTTTTCGATAAAAATCAGATTTCTATATTTGATTGATAATAATCTTTGTTATCTTGTAAGTTGCATCTGTGGCACTTGTGTTGTATTCTTTATGCATTGTTTATTCATGTCTTTCTGGTTAATAAATCTAAGCTTCATAATAGGAATCGTCTCTGTGAACAAACGAAATGGGCATCATTGACGATACTGTATCGATAGGAATGCTATTGGTATAAAGCAGCATTTCGTAATTTGATAAATTTACAGTCATAATGTCAAACCGGGATCGAGTGGTCAGGCTCGCTGACTTGGTTGATGCATGTCATCGCATCCCAATTGCGTGGACTGATGCTCATGTTGTCAACCACTGGATTGTCTGGTCCAGACTCGATTAGTTACAGACCGCCGTCATATAGCTGGAATATTGCTGAGTGCGGCGTTTAGCAACAAACAAACAAAACATAATGCCAGACGTCCTGCGATACGCCATATTTATGAAAATTAATCAAACATAACGCATTATACAAGATAATTATAAGTGGGAGAACTCGTCACGCCAGAAGTCGTTAAAAGATACTGCTTTGCATTAAGGAGATGTAGCAATGCTGGCCGGCTCGGGATCAGTATAATGTGACTGAGTGGGATATCTTTCTTAAACTTTGGCATGACATCTCAGTAGGCTTGTACGACTCAGTAGGCTTGTACGACTGAACCGGCGTAGGCCCGGACAAGTACAAGCAGCCACACACATACGAGCAAGTCGCTATATAAATGAAATACGCGACGTTAATCCTAATTTCACCTCGGCTATTCCGTTAGCCGGAAAACAAAAAAGGGCATCAATGGAGTAGTGATATTGCACGAATTCGCTGTAAACCGTGTAACGCGATACAGCATATATACACTACGTACGTACAAAGTTGAGGACACGTTATCTCTGTGCTGAGCAGAAACATGGTAACTATAGGCACTTCGTTAAGACAACATCAAACGGAAATACAGTTAGCAGTTATACTAGGTTCATGGCTACCATCAGGTTTTGTTGAGCCAAGTGATAGTCACGTGTAAGGTGAGGTGAAATGGACTTTAACGTCGCGTCCAAGATTATAGCGACGTGGATGCACGTGTATGTATGTGTGGCTGCTTGCACTAGTCCGGAATGATGCTAGCACACAGAGATACCATGCGGCAGTTTAACATGAATACCCCACACAGACACAGTATACTGACTCCGAGCCGACCAGTCCTTGTTTTAGCCCCTTCATGCCGAGCGCCAGACAGGATAACAACAACGTCTTTTGGTATGACGAGGCCGGGGATTGAACCCCGGACCATCGCTCTCCGGGCTGACCCTCTACCACTAGACCACGGAGGCGGTCAGTCACGTGTAAGAAATAGGGATTCCTACCAGTCCTTGTCGAGGTCATATTGAACTGAGACGAATCGAATACGATGATGTAACAAGAATTAACTATGCATTAAAACACTCGAAAACGATCATTCAGTCCCGAATATCTGCCGAAACAGATGGAGTGTAAAAGGTAAAACAGTGATGAAAACAATCAAATAAAAGCGTCAAAACCCTTTCCGACTATATCATGATCGATGAGCAAGTGTTTATGAATCAGAATCAAATAATGATGAAACCAGGTGTTCGCGAATAGGTGAGCGATTCCTGTCTCACCGACTTCACTCATTACAAATACATGCAAAGTCAAGTCCGTCAAATACGAGAACATAATGGTAAAAGTCAAAATAGGGAATCGCATCGTATATCATTGTTGTCACTAATGCGTCAAATTTGGAAATGGCCTCCACATGTCAACGATAAAACGTTTTGAAATCTTTGAATGTTGTAACCTTGATCAAGAATCTTACCTTGGTTCAAAGAGCATACTCAATTGCCCCTCAAAAGTTGTGAAATGTAGACACCAAGGGCTAGAGCCGCAAGGATATTGCTAGACATAAAGGGAAAGTTGACGATTGGGAAGTTGAAGTCATCCGTTTTGTCATACAGTCTTATTGAAAGTGTTTTGTCACTGTGAATCTTTGTGCATAGATCTAAATATGAAACAGATGAGGTTGTCTCACTTGTTTCCTTTGTATCTAGTCTAGGTCTATATATGGGTGGAAGGGAACGGGCTATTTGATGGTTATTGAACGATATCAGACATAGCTGAAGCTTAAGTTAAACTTTTTAGCCGAAATACCTTGATTGACTTAGCCAAACCGAGCAGGAATTGCGTGAACGTCCCTAAAGAAACAGATCCGCAAGAAGTGAAGCACAATTGGTGCCCATGGGGATGCCTACTCTTTGCCCAAATGTCTTACCCCCACATTTTACATAGATGTGATCAATGGAAGCATTTCCCATATTGTTTTCTCAGCAAACTTGTTTATGGAGTATCACATAAAACCAGCGGTGACCCCAGGTGTTCAAGATCAGAGAGTCTTGTAAAAAAGGACGTACAGAAAGGATGAACTCATTTATCATTGGATTATCAAATCGATAAGAAGGTGTCCTCGCAACTGGTTTCATTGCGTAAAGGGTAATAAATAAATAATTATTATTAATAGGATTATTAATATTAGCATGTGTTTATGAATCACTATCAAATAATGATAACCGGCATTTGCGAAAAGGTGAGTTTATCCTGCCCCACTGGTGGCAAAAGCAAGCACATGTAAAAAGAAATCAAGCCGTCACCTAAAGAAACACGGAAACATATGGTTCATATCAAAGTAGGGAAGTTCGCAATTGGGGTCACTGATGCGTCAAATTTGAAACTTTCCTCCACGTATCTATCATAAAACGTCTTGAAAGCTTACTAAGGCCTTTTAGCAAGTCTGACCAAATATACATGACGCAAAATACAAAATCGTTTTTTATGCCTGACGGTGAACCTTTCAAGGGATACACTAAGGACGTTCGTCTTCATCTGCTTTAACCAGATATTTCTGGGTAAACCGGCTGTGGCCAATGCGGCCAATCGTCGCAATCAGATATTTGTACGTGTCATCGGTTTTATTGAAATTTTCTGATGCTTTTAAAAGAGCTACATGTCAACATTTAAGTAAACATAATTTTTTGCTTAATGCGACTAAGACGTCTGTTGATCTTTAAAGGAAATTAAAATTGGAATTGTGATGAAGTAATTGAAGTCGTTGAACAGATTGTTTGTAATCGGGAGAAGTTGATCAAGTAATTTCCTAGAGGCACGGTTTAATGTTACTGTTTCTAATTCAAGTTTGTCTCAGAGCAAGCTTCTTTTAAAAACGGAGCAATGATTTCGATTCAACTTACGTGAACTAATTAGAAAAAAATCAAATCTACAAAATTAGAAAAGCAGAAATCTACTGTCGACCATGACTCGTGTTGCTGTTTGTCGCTATTAAAGAACCGAAAATATCCGATGAAGATTGTTTCCTGATTTATGCTATGTTCCACGGGGTACGAGTGGCCCTGTCGCCTAAGGTGCCATAATTCGCTATGCGGAGCTGCGTCCCGTAGGCAAGCAAGAAACCTAAGATTGTGGGTTTAAGTCCCGGTTTTCCCCGATTATGTTTCTCGGTTTGTCAGAGCTATACCCGTGCTCGTGGGTTTCACCAAATTGGTAAACGTCTGAGATCTCTATGACTTGGGGAGTTCCTCCCACATTAAGCTAACACGCCGTAATATAACTGGAAGCCTGTTAAAAGCGGCGTTAAACCCATCTCCCCTACTCAATATTGTATGTTCCCGACGTATACTACGTGTACATATGCATATATGCACATCAAAAGTGAGTGAGTGTGTGAGTTAAAATTTACCGTCGCATCAGCAGTATTTCAGCCATATAGCGACGAGAACAAGTTGATATAGACACAATGCAAGTGAGTCATGAATATATTAAGTAATATTTAAAAACAAACATATTTGGGCACAACAATATTTTTTATACAGTTTAAAACACGGGCTATAGGCCACCTCGCTGGGGACCATGGGGACTTGATATACGGTACCTCAGCTTCCTGCACAATACATAGATCACTTTGATAATGTGAATCCAATATATGATTGACGGTGAATCTTTCATAACAAGGGATACACTTAGGAGGTTCGTCTTCATCTGTTTTAAGCAGATATCCGTGGGTAAACCGACTGTGGCCAATACGACATCGTCGCAAAACGACCTCATCATGTCTTGACTGACAACCCAGGGAGGTATGACCGATTGTTGGCTTCAATTCATGAAGTTTATTGATTCCTACAAACATCAGTTCTTTCCATCCGTATCATATTGACAACTGCCAACAGCTAACTGATCAAAGTGGGTTTGGGGTACACCAATTTGGCTTCACACATTGTACACAGATGGGAATCGAAACCCGGCTTCAGTGAGACGAGCCAACACTTTAGCTTCCCAACCACCCCAACTACCTGTAGGGCGTATCTTTCAATTTCCTTCACCATAACGTGTGCATGGTGACATCACAATCAAGATAATCATTAAATGCTTACATAGCCATGTAGGGAATATTAATATTGTGTGCACTGCTGCCACATTTACCCAACTGATACAACGTTAAAACGTCAAAGAGTGTAGTTCTCGATATTGC